GGGCGAGAGACGAGAGAGAGAGAGAGAGAGAGAGAGAGAGAGAGAGAGAGAGAGAGAGAGAATGAGAGAGAAGGAGAGGCGCGCGAGGGTCGGCCGAATGGAATTTTCAGACTGGCCGCTTTATAAAAGGGTACCGATGACGCGTTCTGAAATGTCTGGCCGGCCCGCCCTCCGTTAACTTCCGGCAGTGGAACCCCCGCTGCTACGAGCTCGCCTCGTTCGCTCGTTCGTACGAACTTTTCGGTTTTGCGACGTGTCCCCGACGTTACTTGCCATCGACACCAAACGCATGCTCCACCTCCCATAATATGTCGTGTGATATTTAATTAAACTTCTCGTCCCCGTTCCGCCGAAACTCCACCCCCGTTGTACCGCTCGCCTGGTCTCATTCCGCTTTCATAGTCCATAGTTTCAAGAGGTATTTCAGCCGTGTGCGTTTCGTTTCACCCCACATTTTCCGCCGATACCACTTATTAACCGTGTTTCAGCCAAGCCTGACGACGAATTTTTCTTGTCCCTTTCCATACAAGTATAAGCTCGTAGACGTGTATCATAATCAAATACCGCCGATTATCGTTAACAATTCGCGAAACAGCGTGGAAAATCTCCCCGCCGAATACGAGCGAATCGTCAGAAGCAGTTTATAATTAATCGCACGTAACATTATAACGTCTTAACGTTTCTAAGACATCTTAAAAAATTGTTAGAAAAAGACATCTTTATAACGTCTTTAAGGTTATATGGTTATTAATTAGAATATTTATCAATAAAAAAATAGGAAAAAGGGCAATTCGAGTTCAAGCACAGGACTAATAGTGCTATATACCATATGGGTAAAAAACCTTCCTTGTGTTAGGAAATCGTGTAATATTTATTGAACATGAATAATCAATATAAAACAATCATACGTTTCGGCTCAACCATGAACCCTCTTCAGTGATAATAAAAACTCAAGGTTTACGACACGAACGCATTACAATTAGTTAAAGACCTGCGTAAATTGATATGAATGTTAATCGTAATATTAAAGCTGACAAGACCGTTACCGAAATAATGTTAAGTAGTTAATTAATATTGAGAAGTAGCCGTCATAACTTTATTGAGTTCAGCTAAAAGTAAACCGATCCTGTCAACGCCACGTCTGTGAATATTTATCTTATGTTTGACAGTGTAAGTGCACGCGCCAAGAGTACCTTGGTCTAACATACACTTTTATGCACCTTTCCTGTCAAGCCTAAATTTTTCTACTTGTCATTCCCAATTCTCTACTCTAAGAAGAATTATCTTCTTTGTACATACACGAACTGCACTATTGCGAGGAATTATATGGCGCACTCTCATTAATATCGCGCTCAATATCGCGCGGGTGTGCTGCTGAAAGAACTTTCGGTTTTCTCGTTTGTTCGCGCGCGCAACCCCTCTTCGAAGTTACCCTCATTTCAATTACTGGTACCAGGTGACTTGTAGCTCGTTCCGCGTCCCCGAGCAGTTAACGCCCGCGCGGGTTCATCGTATGCAAATGTCAAGCCGTCCGTCGGTTTGTCCTTCGTCCGAGAACGGGAGAAGGCGGGTCCGGTGTTCATCAA